ATTTTCACAGATATTCAGATGAAAATAATACATCAGAGAATTCTAGCCATTTATGAACTTTAGAAAGTCTCTGAACTCTGAAGTGTATGTAAGATTTTATGTGGATTTGTAGTTACCTGTTAGAAAGCCTCACAGCTTTCCTTAGATTCCAAATGGGTATGTAAAACAAGATTAAAATGCTGCCAGGTTCAGTGACCACTCTTGTAATTCCACCTAGTAGAAACCTGAAGTAGGAGGATTACAACTTCCAAGGTCAGCCTGGCCAATTTAGCTAGACCTTGTCTCAAAATAAAAAGGTCTGGGGATGTACATACCATAACTCAGTGATAGAGTACTCTCTCCCCAAAAAAACTAAAAAGCCCAATGTAGACATTCAAAGATAAAGCTGGTCTGAGAGAGGTGTGGTTTGGTGGTGAAAATAATTTACTTAGAGCTAGTAGTTGATACTGAGATTTTATTTGACTCAATAAGGTAAATATTATATTGAGAAAAGTAAGGTCAAAGGATTGAGATGTGAGAAAATGCCAAAATTGGGATAAACAAAGACAATTTTTGGATTATAAGAAGAACCAAAGTTCCAAGGTGATTTTTTTCATAGTGAGTATCCATTATTGGAAGAAAACAAAGATGAATTGATTGGACCAGTTTATTAGAATTCACAAAATCATGACTACAGTTCAAGTTGGGTGGAAGGAACCCATTGTAGAGAATAGATGGGGAGGAAGATAGAAACAAACTTAAATCACTAGACCTAGAAATTTGGTAATGAAAATACTTGATTAAATTGAGTTCAGGCTGGCCTGATAACTCAGTGGACTAAAGCACCTGCTTATGCAGAGTGCAGCAGCTGGGGTTCCATCCCTAGTATGCCGTGCCAGCCCTGCCCCTGGGGTGTGCTGAGCCAGCAACTGAGACAGGGCGCAGTGGCATGCTCCTATAACCGCAGCACTTGGGAGGCTGAAAACAGGATCACTATGAGTCCAATCTACGTAGTGAGACTCTGTAGACCCTGTATTACATACAAAAAAATAAATAATAAATTGAGTTCTTTTGGAAACTAAAATCATATGGAATACTGATTGTATTCTTATGAGTTGTGCATGCTAATTTTTGCCATCTTTTTTTTAGGGTTTCAATCCACCTGTTCTTGTTTTTGTCCAGTCCATTGAAAGGGCTAAAGAACTTTTTCATGAGCTCATATATGAAGGTATTAATGTGGATGTTATTCATGCAGAAAGAACACAGCAACAGAGAGGTAACACTGTCTACAGCTTCAGAGCAGGAAAAATCTGGGTTCTTATTTGTACAGCCTTGCTTGCAAGAGGGATTGATTTTAAAGGTGTGAACTTGGTGATCAACTATGATTTTCCAACCAGCTCTGTGGAATACATCCATAGAATAGGTGAGTTGCCTTTTTTTTCTTTCCCGGTTACTCACTTACCTACTCAGCACCTTTACTGTTCTCTTCAGACATACTCAGTATATGAACTCTGAGAGTCCTTTTCACCTCAAAAAAGTGTGAGGTTTTTTTTGTTTTTTTGTTTGTTTGTTTGTTTGTTTGTTTTTAATGATCTGATTTCTCTTAGGTCGAACTGGAAGAGCAGGGCATAAAGGAAAAGCTGTTACATTTTTCACTGAAGATGATAAGCCATTATTAAGAAGGTAATTTAGGAAAATTACTTAGTATTCAGGTGGTAGAATTGTTTCATTATTTTTGTACGTGTATTCTATTAATAGAAAATTAGAAAATAGCTGTGTCCCAGACTGTAATAATGATACTAATCAACTAAATTTTTAGCCATAAGAAAGGAAAAATGACCCAAGAGCCTTGCTTTTGCCCTTCTGTTATTAGAACTTGGAAATACTCAAAATAGAATACTCATTTTTAAGTTTCAGATTCAGGACTCTTCTAATAGCCAGCCATTGATGGTTGCTACAGTTTAATATTAAGGTTGTGAATTAGTGTATGGTCTTTAATAGTATCTGTTGTGTGGTTTTTTTTTTGTTTTTTTTTTTTTTTTTTTGGCAGAACCAGGGATTGAACTCAGGCCCTTACGCTTGCCAGGGAAGCGCTTAATCCACTGAGCCATCTCCCTGGCCCTTTAATAGTATCTTCAGCCCACTTAGCCTTCTTTCTTACCATGATGCTTCCTTCCCATTACAGTTAGGGCCAGATGGAATTATATATTTAGTCATAGAATCACTTGCCATATAGGAAAAACTATTTTAGTAACATTCCAGTTTTTCTCCATTGTAGCCATTTGAAGCCTAGGTAACATACAATTTTGGAAACTCAGATCTTAATTTATCCTGTCATTACAGATTTTAATGTAGGGGATGAGTTTCCTGTATCTTGGCTATCTGCAGTAATTTTTGGTTGATGATAATTGAGAAGCACTTCACATTTCTAATAAATGAAATTTAGTTATGGCCAAAGGACATTTGTACTTTACCAGTTCTGATAAAGATTTTGATTTGTACCCTCTGAGCTTTGGCCATCAGCCTTGGTACAGCTTTGAGTATATGCATGTATAGCAGGTGAATTCCAACAGCCTAAAGCCACCTGAAGTCTCCTTAGCAACCCCAAATATCTAACTCTGAGGACCCCAATATTAGTGTTAACTGTACACCTAGTTTTCCATCTAGAAAATGGGGATTATGGTAGTATTTTACTGCATAGGGTTGTGAGGAATGAATAAGTTAACATAATAAAAATTCATAATGTCAACCCCTTAATAAGCACTGCTAATTAATAAATTCAGACTTGACTCTGGCTTCATTCCGTGTTTTCTCCAATGCTGGTCATACTACATTTTTAAAGCTTGGTATTGAAATAATTGCTATCTAAAATTACTCGTTAATGTCTTGATTTCAGCCCAGTGAATAATTCTCTGAGTAACCCAACATGGGTATATTGGGTGATAATTGATATCAGAACATTTTACTTTAGTACTTTGTATAGTCTTAGTTCCCCTTATCTTGTTCATAATGTTTGTGTACATAAACATCAGTTTGATAAGAGATAAGTTTGTGTTTATGGATTTCTTTTTCAGTGTTGCCAATGTTATACAGCAGGCCGGTTGTCCTGTACCAGAATACATAAAAGGTTTTCAGAAACTACTAAGGTATATCTTGAGTTTGCCTGGAACTTTTTTCTGTCTTTGAAGATACATTCTTGCTTTTTATTTTGTTTTCTTGCCTCTTATTTTATTATTAGTATGTATCCCAAAGCAATACTATATATTGTTTAGTTTTACATGTTTTTGATCTTATATACAATGTTTCTCTATTGAGGATGTAATCCTAGTAAACTCATTGTGAATCAAAACTTTTCTAAGTTGAAAAGGTATTTAAGCAAAAAAAGAAAAGGTACTTAGGGCCAGGGACATAGCTCAGTGGCACAGTGCCCATCTGGCAGTTGCAAGGTGCTGAGTTCAATTCCTGTATTTGGTATACTTCAGTTACCAAACATAGCTTAGAAACCAGTATAGATACACCACAAAGTAGCAATTGCTTGCTCTTATACACTACAGCATATCAGTTGCTGCCCAGCATTGCAGAAGAATATGGCACCACATAGTGGTAGGTGGTAAAGGTTAGAATTCTAGGGCCAGCCAGATAGCTCAGCAGATTAAAGCACCTGCTTAGGCAGACACAGGGAACTGGATTCCATCACCAGTGTGCTGTGCCTGCTCCATCCCCCGGGCGTGCTAAGATGGCGATTGAGACTGGGCTTGATGGTGCACACCTGTAATCCCAGCTCTTGGGAGGCTGAACACAGGTGGACCACTATTGCGTCCAAGCTACTTAATGAGATCCTGTGGATTCTGTATTAAATTGAAAAAAAGAAAAGAAAAAAGGATTAGAATTCAAAGGACAGTTTTTACTGACTGTGTCACTTTTTTGTGGAACCGGGGATTGAACTCAGGCCCTTGTGCTGGCCAGAGAAGCACTTATTCCACTGAGCCATCTCCCTGGCCCCCGAATGTGTCACTTTTGTACGATCAGAAAGTGAAAAAAATTCAAAGTCAGGTCACTGTGGTTGGAACTGCCTACAGATAGTATCAAATAGATAAGTTCACTGTTCTTGTTCAAAATTATTGTTTGTACTTTAATGACCATCAAATGGAGGGAATCAAACCAAGGGCCTCAAGTATGATAAGTAAGCACTCCACCACTGAGCTATACTCCTAGGCCTTGATTTTTCTACATTGTGAAAAAATACATATAAAGCTTTCCATCTTAACCACTGTTAAGCATACAGTTCAGTATATTAACTGCACTCAATGTTTGTAGTCATTACTACCATCTACTCCTTTCTGCATATAAAATTGCCACTCTGCACCCATTAAATAGTAATTTCCAGTTCTTCCCTGCCCCTAGGCCCTGGCTACTAGCATTATAATTTCTCTCTGATTTTGAGTACTCTAAGCACATCATATGAATGGAATTCATGCAGTATTTGTCTTTTGGGGAATTGTTTTATTTAGCATAGTGTCTTCAAAGTTCATCCATTTGTATAGTCACAATTTTCTTCCTTTTTAAGGTTGAATAATACTCCATTGTTTGTATATTCCACATTTTACTTGCCTATTTACCTGTTGATGAACACTTAGTTTGCTTCCATGTAACTATGTGAATGTGAGTGTATGCATTGGTTTTTATGAACTCTGGATTTTACATTCTTTCTTTATACATTAGAGGTTAAGTAATAGTTTTAGAACGTTTAATGTTAAAAATGTTTGCATGTTAATATTCGTGACTTTTATTTCCTTCCCCATTTTTCCATCCTTGAATTTCTAAGTATTGAGATTTTTTTAAAAAACTATTCAGTGTAAGGGCGGACCAAAAATCTCAGCAGATTAAAGTGCCTGCTTAGGCAGAAGCAGGGACCGAGATTCTTGTGCTGTGCGGGCCATGCCCCAGGGTGCCCTGAAATGGCGATTTGAGACTGGGTGTGGTGGCAGGTGCCTGTAATCCCAGCACTTGGGAGGCTGAAAACAGGAGGATCACTACAAGTTCGATCTGTGCAGTGAGACCCTGTAGCCCCTGTACTAAATACATAAAAAAATTATTCAGTGTGAGTGAGCTACACTTATAATTATCTTAGTTCATAAAATGACCAAAAATTAATGGATCAAAGTCAAACTCTGGGGCCCGCCAGATAGCTCAGCAGCCTAAAGCATATGCTTAGGCAAAGCTCAATGGCCAGGGTTTGACCTCCACCCTGCCGTGCCAGCCCTGCCCCCACTACGCAGAGACTTGGTATGGTGGTGCACACCTGTAAACCCAGCTCTTGGGAGGCTGAAAACAGGAGAATGACTATGAGTCTGATCTGTGTAGTGAGACCCTGTAGACCCTGTATTAAATACATGGGGGAAAAAAAGAGTCAAACTCTGATGCTTACTGACATAGGCTATAATGTTTCCATAGGACACGTTTTAGTAGCAATCAGTGACTTTTTAAAAGATTGATTGAATTTATCATCTCTTGAGATAGACAAGTGCTGTTGGGTAATTTAGTTTATTAAAGTGAGTACTGCCCATTAAATCTGCAAATAGTTAAAAAATGAATTTTGGATTCAAGAATCAAGACTAAGATTAGTTTTAGTTTTCCTAAATGAAGTTTCACATAATTTATTTCCTTTCTCACTTTGTAACTTTCAGCAAACAAAAGAAAAAGATGATTAAGAAACCATTGGAAAGGGAGAGTATTAGCACAACTCCAAAATATTTCTTAGAGCAAGATAAAGGTAAACGGTAAGTACACAGTATGAAATTTAAAAAGTTGATGTTTGACTCTTACAGTTATGATAAGCAAAATTTTTCTTCAGATAAATTTCTAGAGGTAGAATTAATTACATCCCATTATTGAATTTGACTTAAATATATCCTAGGTTGTCTTTGATTTGGGAACTTGGCTGATTAAATCTTCGAATTTTTCTGTAGATCTAAGTTTTTGCAGATTTGAAAATACGGTTTTACTGGGAATTGTCTACCATGTCCACATAGTCTGAATCAGGACTTGCTCTGACGCTAAGATTTAAGACTACTGGCACACATTGAACAGGCTGTCCTTAAAGTTTCATATTCTGGGCCAGATTTCAATATAATCTTAGTCTTATGCTGAACCACACTGTAACCTCTGACTGTAAACCCAAGTAGTAGTTCAATAAATTTATACTGACTTGGCCTAGTTTGGTAGGCTATTCATTTATTTTTGAGATGGGGTTTTGTTGTGCAGTTCAGGCTGGCCTTGAACTCACTTTGTAACTCAGGCTGGCCTGAAACTCATAGCAATTCTCCTGGTTCAGCCTCCTGAGTGCTGGGATTACAGGCATGTCTATCACGCCTAGCTTGTCCTAGTTCTTGTGGTTTTTAAAGTATAATTCTTGTAAAATATGTATCAGTCTACCTTATTTTACACAGTTTCAGGGCTACATGTTTGTGTGTGTGTGTGTGTGTGTGTGTGTGTGTGTGTGTGTGTGTTTCTTTGTTTTTTTGATGGAACTGAGGATTGAACTCAGGCCCTTGTGCTTGCCAGGCAAGTGCTTATTCTACTGAGCTATCGCCCTGGCCCTCAGGACTACATGTTTTGGGAGAGGTAGGCCAAAGTATTCTGAATAGTATTACTGTTTTACTATTTAAGGAATATGATACTATTCAAATTCTTCCATTTGTAGGTTTAATATATGCTGTAAAAGAATTATCTTACTTTTTTTTTTTTTTTACAAATGGAGGTTATGAGCAGAATATATTTCTTGAGGGAAAGAAAGCTCCTGTCTGAGAGAGGGACAGGAGAGGGGCTCCAAGCAGGTTGTCCCCCTCTACTTTCTTTAGAGAGAGTTTCCTGAGAATATCCTCACTATCCTAGGATACTATATAATGTTATGAAATAAACTAATGCTTCTTTCCATTGACTTATATGCATTATCTGAAAATAATTAGAAAAAAGGACTGTATCAACCCATAGGTATTTACTGAGCCTAAAGGTGCTTCATGGTAATAAAGTATACAAATAAATAGAAAACAAGCTGCCTTTCCTGAAGATAAAGAGGTTACTATCTATAAAAAATTAGTGATTTTAATTACAGATTAAAAAAAGTCAAAATTATTATGGATAGACATTGTTATAGAAAGGCTCAAGGAGGCAAAATGATCTTTAAGTTGGGCAAGTAGAAGGAGCAAAGTGAAGAAAGGCATAGAAGCTGCTATGTATCTTCTTTGTAAGGGGGCCCAGAGCCTCATGGCATTTTGGTGTGGACTATGGCAACTACTGTTCAGTTCAAGTATAGACAATGCCCCAAAGTTTTTATTGCACTTGTAAGATTTGGGGGAGAAAAATAAATGCCACAGACTTAATAAAAATGTCACTTGAAAGACTAATAATCTTAATTCCATTTGTACTTATTCCATTTTGTGAATTATTTATTTTGATTTTTGTGGTGATATTTCTGGGTGACACTAGACCAGTGATAAAGGCAAGGAACATGGGAGGATTAACATCAGAACTGTCACATATGCATTAGAACCTTCTTTGTATGGACTTCCTGCTAACATTACAAATGCAGTCCTTTCAGGCGCTGAGCAGCAATTGGGAGCTTGTACATAGGTATAAGTTGAGACCTGAATTATGGGTTTTAGGGTTTGGGTTTTTTTTCTTTTTCTTTTTTCTTTAATCTACTAGAGTGTAAGATTGTGTCTAGGTCCAAATTTAATAAAATACATCAGTGTGGTTTTATGTTTGTAGGGATTTATTGTTGTATAGTACTGGGAATTGAATGCAGGGCCTCAGGCATATTAGGGACACACTGTGCCACCAAGTCATATCCCCAGCCCACTTCCAGGGTAATTGAAACTTGGCTGTGTGAAGACTCTAAGGACATTTGGTATAGGTCTTGTCATATCTGCCTAAAATGCTTTTGTTGGAGTGTGTGGGAGAGCTTCCTGCTACCCTGCACCGGCAGGACCTACTAGTCCCAGCCCAGGCGAAGCGTGGGTGAGACCCTCTTTCATACCCTTGGGACACTCCCCACCACTCCGCAGCACCTCGCCCACCCCACCCGCTGAGTAGGAATTTCTGCCACGTTCCTGGAAACCCCAGATCCAGTCCTAGCCCAGGCCCGGTCAGTGTGTGGGAGAGCTTCCAGCAACCCTGCGCCGGCAGGACCTGCCGTCCCAGCCCAGAAGCAGAGTGGGTGAGACCCTCTTCCACACCCTTGAGACGACCCCCCCCTCAATACCTCCCCCATCCCGCCCACGGAGTAGGATTTTATGTCGTGTTCCGGGATCCCCCAGATCTAGTCATAGGCCAGGCTCAATGAGTGTGTGGGAGAGTTGCCTCTTCCCCCTACTCCACGTTGTCCCCTCCAGACTCAGCTCAGGCCTGGCATACAGGCCTGGGCTGAAACCCGGCAGCTGCAATCCATGCAGAGAGTGTAGGGGACAGAACCACCCAGCTAGTCTAGGAACAGAACATCTTGCCAGAGGGGCACAACAGGTTCACCCCCAAGAGCAGCAGCAGGAAGGAGCTGAGCACAGCAGCCAGACCCAAGCCAGGCGCAGCTGGATAAATTCAAACTTTGTAGATCTGCACCTGAACTTCAGTATGTGCTAAGGTTATAACTACAACAAAGATCTACAACAAAGGTCAGAAGACAGTGCTACACAGATTGACAAGAAAGAACGAAATGCAACCTCAGAACCAAAGCCCACCCGTAACAAGTGCAGAGGACACTAACGCAGAACAGATTGGGAATCACACAGCTGAAAGCAATGAATCAACAGCTTCTGAAATAAAGAAACAGCTGCAGAAAGGTATAGAGGAACTCAGATTGGAAATAAAAAAAGAAATCCCTGAATTAATAACATCTGCA